TGAGACAGACTTCCTAACTACGTCTCTCTGCCTTTTTAGTCATTGTTCTTTTCTTTTTTTGCCCCCCTTACGCTAGTTCCTGTTTGTTTTCTCCCTGTTTTTTCGTTCGACCACCCCAGCCATCATCTGGATGTCTGACCCGCCACTTCAGCAGGTATGAGGCCAAGGCACAGACTTTATTTCCAGGGGCAGGCTCTCTGCATGGGGCAGCTCATGTTCAGCAGGCATCTGCAAAGTCCTTGCGGTGGCTTCCTTTCCTTCACAGTGTCCATAATTCCTGCCTTCATTCCTAGCTTCCCCTTCAGCAGTCCTTTCCAGATCCCTGCCTTGGAAAACCCTTCCCTTGGAAAGCCCTTTCTCCTCATCCTCGGGTTCCCTGGGTCCCAGCAGCTTGGCAGCCAGATCCTGGCAAAGCTTTATTAGCTCTGCCCCATCACTAACATGGCTTCTTGCTTTCCGTGCTGGTTTGCATCCCACTGCCCTGGCCCTACGGGTCAGTGCATTTCTGCAACCAAAAGGGCTGTGAGTGGGTGGGCGAAAGGAGAATTGGGGGTCTCAAACTCCCGTCGCAAACTTTTGCTGAGAAAAATGAGATGTGGCATCGCTCCCTTTGATTCAAGGACGAGAAAAGGCTGATCTGCTCCCGCCTCCCAGAAGTTGGAGGACAGCAAGCAGCTCTGCTCATGCCCTGTTTTCCTCCTCTGTAAAATGCAGGGAAGAGTATGCCTGGCTGCTTGGAAAGGCTCTGTAGCTGGCAGGTGGATCTTCCTGAGGCTTTGCTCTGCCAAACGATCAGCCGCTGAGGAGTTAAAGTACTGTTTAAAAGAGTCCTCAATTAGACCCCTAATGATGGGGCATGGCACCTCCGAGACCCTTTGTCAGGCTAATTTCCCCACATGGGTTCATGTTCCCCTTACACCCCAAAGGTTGTGTGTGCTGAGGGGCCCTCCCCCTGCCCCCCCAGCTCTGAAATGACGATTGAGATTGATTAATATTTATCCTTTTTAATTAAGATTGAGAGGCTGGAACCCCAGGGTGCGCCAGCCTCAGGAAGAAGGACAATTATGCAGCAATTACACAGCCTTGTAATCACATTATACATGGGATGTAGACTGAGATCTACCAAAGCCATTGTAAATGGGTCATCAGCAAACCCAAGAGATGCTAAACGACTTGGGGACCTTTAGCTCCTTGCCGAGGGGCTCGGATTGGGGTTGGAGAGGAGATGCTGGCTGAGAACGACGCGTGACCTCATATCTCAGTGATCTCCTGTCCCTATGACCTCACAGCATCCATCAGCGCATCTCTCCCCCGCAGGCGTGTGATCCCCTCCCCTCTTCTCCTCTGATTAGTGGGCGATGCATCAGCAGCACTGCAGAGCTGGGAGATGGCGAGTGCCTCCTCCCAAACCAACATCTCTCAGCTCAGACCCTCCTTCTCCCTGCTGGTACGTGGGGCTCCCCGGGTCTGGGCAGCCCTCCTGGTCCCTGTCTCTTACTCCATCTACACCATGCCTCTTCACAACACTCCCTCAGATGCTATTTCCAGCCCAGGGGAGTTCCCTGGGAGACGAAAGCCCGACTGTACGTACACAGGGTGATTGAAACAAGCTAGAAAGGTGTTTTGGAGGCAGGATCTGAAAGGTCGGGCATCTCTGACTTGTGCCTTGATAAGCACTGGCCGAGCTGGCATCGCTCAGGACCTTGGGCATGTCCCAGTTTAGGTCTCCTGGTTTGGGAACACACCTTGACCTGGCTCACCCAGAGCCAGCCTGGGTTTTCTGCACCGTGTTTCTCCAGTCCCGTAGCCCCAGGGTGACAGAACTGCTACGCGGGTGCCAGCGATGGGGCCACGGTCTGTTTTCTCCCAGGATGGCCCAACTTCTGCTGAAGCCCACCCAGTTGTAAGGAGGGAGAAGAAGCACAAGAAGCACAAATTCACTCTTGTTTCCCTTTGGTTTGGTGCTGGGTTTAAAAAAAAAAAGTGAATTTCCCTGCTCCCCCTCCCTTCAAAGAGCTGGGTAGCAGCATCGGTGGTGTTCCTGCGCCCCACTGCCTGCACAGCCCTTCCTCCAGGACCTGCCTTTGGGCCCCAGGAGTCGCGTTATTAAGTGTTTCTTCTGCTGGATGCGGAAATCTCAGATTCTGATACCGTTTCCTCTCCTGGTTTTCATCCCCTTAATTCCTCCTCTCTGGTCATTTCTAATTAGCAATGCTAAACCACGCTGCGCTTGCCTTTTATCCTCCGCTAAAAGCGGGCTTGGACTGACATTAAATGGAGCGATGTAGGCTCGGGGCTACGTTTTCCCACTGAGGGAGTCGGGGCATGCGGTCAATAAGAGCTGTGCCGGAGCCAAGCAGGTTGCTGATGTGGTTTATGAGCTTTAGGACGGTGTTAAGCCAGGGGAGCTTTTGCTGCCCTTGCCTGGTTGGCCCCACTCTCCTCTTGCTCGTAGAGAGCCAAGAAGATGCCCATCAACAGGGTGAGCAGGCTCAGCGGCGGAGAGGATGGCTCCAGGGGGTCCCCAACCTCGCCTGGAGGTCCACCTGGGTGGCATCTGAGGGGGGAACCAGCCCCAGGGAGTTTCCTTTTTCCTCCCTGTTTTTCTAGGAGAATAAATAAATCCTTGAGGAACCAGCATCCCTTTGCCTAGCGATGCTCTGCGCTTATCCTCGTCTGGCATTTCTCGCTCGCTGGCTGCTTTTTATTCTTTTCTCGCAGTTTACAAATTAGTCAGCTTTGCCCGGTGAGGGAGAATTGATTCTTACAACTTTTTTTTTTTTTTTTATTTTTTATTCCCTCCTTTTTTTAAGCCTCTAAAAACAGCTTTTCATTCCCCTGAAAGCAGCCGGGAGAGCTCCGAGACGAACCCAAACACCTTGTCACACTTGCAGAGAGCTGCGAAAACAGTCTGCTTCCCCCTTGCTGGGCTGGTAGTGAGAAATTTTCCTGTCTGGGCTTAAAGGCAGTGTCTGGAAAGTATCTGGGGAAGTCAGGGCTGGCTTGCTGGTGGCACGGAGGCCGGGGACGGTGCTTTTGGCAGGGTGGCTTCTTAGACCCTGTCCAGCTGGTGTACGGAGCTACAGCTCCGGGACCCAGAGGATAGGGAGGTGGGGGAGAGGATGCTCCTGCTTCCTTGGAAATGGAGTTGTGTTGTCCAAGAGGGGCCACGACATGGGGTTGATCTTGCAAAAGTGCCGAGCGTCCCCCCCGCCGTGCAAGGGGCTGCAGCTGCCGTCCATGGCCCTGCAGCATCCCGTGAGTCCCCTCCCTTCTCCTGACGCCAGGGAGCCCCGGTGCATCCGGGCACGGGCAAATCTGGGCTGAAAACCCTTCTGCTGAGCTGTTTGGGTTTAAATGAACTTGTAAACTGGGGCTGCTTTAGCAGGAAACCCTGAAACTGCTTGTCCAAGTAGCGTGGTTTGGGACATTGCCACCTTCACGAGGGTCTGTCGAGCCACAAGAGCTGACAACGGCCCCAAAGCCACCCCTGGGGACACGGATGGGGTGCCCGAGGTGCTGCGTTGTCATCCCCAAGGCCTGGCATCTCCGTGCAGCCAGGGGCGTGGAAATATCTCATGGGGCAGTTCCCGAGATGAGATGCTCGTGGTCGACAGCACTTGGAGATACGTCTGTCTGCCAGCCCGTCCCCCCATCCTGTACACCACTCTGGGTCTGAAACGGGGAAAAAATCAAAAAGAACTCCCATTTTGGTCCAAACCCTGGGGTTTGGGTTTTTCAGCCTCCTTGCAGGCAGAATTAGGAGGGGCTGTGCAAGATGTACGACCAGATCCAGCTGTTTGCTGGAGACACAGCACAGGGGTTTCTCCTACGTCTGCAGCTTCATCGGTAAGTGCCAATGGCAGCGGGGAGGGGAGCGTGGGGTGCCCGGCGGGGTTACAGTGACTTGAGTTTCAGTGTCCAGCCGTCTGCAGGATAACTAACCCCGTAGATGTGCACGGAGCTAGCTGCGAGCCTGATCAGCTCCCTAATCCGGCTGGCAACTAGTCCTTGCAGGAGGGATGGGGTCAACGCCACCAAAGACCATGTAAAGGTCCTGCATCACCTTCAGCTGCTTTTGAAATTGTGTGCTGGGACTGGGGAGAGAGGCTGCAATGAAATCCTCCCTCCTCTCCATCAGCTGCAGCAGGACCAGGGCTATCAATGCTGGATTTTTACCCGGTTGAGATACCGGGATGGATGTCTTTGCCCCACGCTGGTGGCAGAGTGAGGGATGGCAACCAGCAGCCACCCGTGCTACCCCCTGGCTGGCCCAGCCCCAGCACGTGTCATTATATTTCTGAACACCTTAAAATCCCCACAGCCGCTCCAATTTATGGCATTTTTCTACCTCTCTTCTCACCGTGAGCTGCAGCGTTTGACGGCTAGATCTGGCACCTGCTACAGCATCGCCTGGAGCCATCGGCTTTGCAGCGATGGGTCGAGTGACCCAGAGAGAAGAAATTATATATAGAAAGACAGGAGATAGAGATGTTATTAGAGAAAAGCTGGGAGCTGGGAGAGAACCTCTGGGCCCGTTTTTTTTGTGGATGAAAGGAGCTTACTTCAGTGAAGAGCTTTATTATATTCAGATTCCCATTTAGGCTTCTCCTAGTTGTACAACAAAAGGAATATTAAATGATCTTGCAAAATTTATGTTACAAATCAATGTAACCTGCATAAATCAACCCAGCTGAAGCAAGAAGGTAAGGTTTGTTTTTTTTTTTTCCCCCAAGTGCCTTGCTGTGACAAAGCCGCTGCTTTAGAAATGAAAGATGCTGCATCCAGCTGGAGAAGACCTTAGAAAGATGTCATGCCTTCAGCCAGACACATCTCCTTGCTCCCTTTTTTTTCCACGACTGGGTGAAGAAGAAATCACTCTCCAACTTTCCTCATGAAGTGAACTGCTTACAGAGCTGGTGCGGGTTACACACATTGCTCAGAGCTAAAACTTCTTGTAGACATAGGCAAGCGTGCAGGCAAAACTCGGGGCAGCAGGGATGGTGGGACTCTTGGACCAGGAGGAAATCTGTGGTCAAAATCAGGGTAGGAGGAATATCTTGGAGCCCCCTTGAGTCCTCCAGGTAAGGAAATCAGCTTTGCCCTGGCTCAAGCTTGTTTTGCTCATGAAGTTTTTTCCCAAAGGCATTTACGTGTGCAGGATGTGATGATGTGAAGCAGCCTGGCATGAACACCCTGCTCCAAACGTCCAGCGTGGGTGGGTGTCTCTCCCTCCAGGCTTGGACCTGCAGAGGCTGCACATGAGATGAGGCCGTAGTGCGGTGGACAAGAAGCAGCTGGAGAAGACCCTTCTGCTGAGCTACGTGTGCAACGCAGAGGCTGGCGAGCGGACAGGGGGGCAGCAGGTCCCACGTGGCCCCGAAGGGCTTTTCCAGGGAGGAACTTTCCCATTGGCATCCAGCAGTGCGGATCTCATCTCTGCCCTCTGGTGCAATGAACGCGTCTGGATGACCTCTCTCTTGGCAGAGTACCAGCAAGGCTTTTGTGAGACTCTCCTGCGCTTCCACCTCCTGGTTGAGAGGGAACATGAGGTTTATTGGCTCTTCCAGTTCTTCATCCAGAAAACAGTAAGTTTCGGGGTGCTTCTTCCTTGGATCAAACAGTCCAGGTGGTGAAAGTCCATAATTGCTCCTGGCCTGATGTCCTCCCACCCTGGGGGAAACAGCCACCTACAGCCTTCAGCTCCCCTCTGCCCCCCACCAGGCATGGTCCCTCCTCCCAGCCGCCTCTCAATGAGCATCAGTTTGGCGTGGGCCTCATCCAACTTGCCCAGGCAGTGCTGATCCCTGCAGGGGATGGAGTTGCAGCAAAGGGGTTGAATCCTCTATTGTCGGGGCTTTGGGCTTTGTGGCTACGAACAAGCTGGGCCACGGGAGCTTTCCCTGCCCCGGGTTCCTGCTTTCCGTGTCCCCCAGGAGCACAGCTGTATGATGAACATAGGCGTGGGGAAGAGCTTCATCATGCTGAAGACCTCGGTTGCATTTATGGATCCCACCTTGCAAAACACCTGGGTGAGTCCCAAGCCTCCTCAGCACCTCCACAGATCCAGCAGAAAACACCCCCGTAGATTCAGCAGCATCATTTAGAGAGGATGCCAGCAAAGGAGAGTAAGTATTTGCACAGCGATTGGCGTCACCTAAACCTGCTAAATATGCTGAGGACATGGGTCAGGGCCACCGAGCAGGGGTTACGTGTCTTGGCTCTCCTGAGGCGGCTCCGTGGCGAGACTCTGGAAGACCTGAGCCCTTTGCACTCGCTCTTCTGAATTTATCTCCTTTACTCTGTGAGTTGCATGAAGAAGGAGCTGAAGCTGCGGCTGTTGAGCTCTCCCGAGCTGTCCTTCCACGGGCCAGCCCTTCTCATGTCCCACTGATGCTGCTTGGGTGGAAAATGTTCCCTCTCCTCCAGGTTTAACAGCCTGATTTTCTCTGGCCAGGTTGGCTTTTACCTCCCATCCCAATGGCTCACAATTGCTCCTGTTTGCCCTTAAAATACAGCATCGTCTCTGCCCCAGGGTTTGCTTTTCTCATCTTTCAGAAGGAAAAGGCCCGCAAGTTATTCACTCACTGGTCCCCTGCTTTTGCTTCTCCTTCCAGCAAGTGTTAGAATCATAGAATCATAGAATCATAGAATCATTGAGGTTGGAAAAGACCTCTAAGATCATCGAGTCCAACCATCGACCCAACACCAC